GTCGAAATCTCAAATTTGGCTACAAACTTGTCCCTAGGGGTATTTTAATCTCCGGAACACGAATATCACACTTGTTTGCTGCAAAAACGTCTGCCAAGAGTTCTGTGGGCTCCATGTGCAGTCTTTAGTAAGTACCGCCGAAACTGATTAGAAACTCCTCGCAAAGTCTTTGCACGGGTAACTACAGGCAAGCATTGATGATCATTTTGCAGCGAAGGCAAAAAAGAGAACCCGCCAGGGAATCGATCCTACGACGTCTCGCACGTGAACCCGGACTACTACCGCTGCACTACTTTCCTTCATAACTCCATTCGGAAAATCGTTTGGCAGATTTTTAACCCATAACGGACGGCCAGTGTATTTGTTCGCGTGCGCCACCATGTGGCGCACGCCGCCACCCAGGGTAGGGTTTATGTAGGCTTATGCGAACAGCAGGGTTAAGACGGGGCTAAAGTAGGTGTCCGTGTCTCATCATCCAAAAGAAGAGATTTCCGTTGACGACAAGTTCGTAACCCGCCTTTCCGCTCTAAAACTAGGGTGCAAAGAATGAATGGAAGCTGTAGGTGACATTATCGAAAAATGCGAAACAACAACCCCGAGCAAGGATGTGGCTATATTTAGGGGAAGGGGTCTCGGGACGTGCGTGAACCATGGGTAAGCCACCCATCAAATAGTAAACTTATGTAAATTAAGAAAATGTATGTAAAATTTATTGTAGGTTTGTCAAAAATCCAGTCGTCCAGGTCCTGGGAAGATATGTTATTCCACATTGCTGAGAGTATATATGGGTATATTAAGATTGCTAGAAACATTCCAAAAACAAAAGAAATAATCGTGCGCCACCTTGTGGCGCACGCCGTCCGTTATGGGTTAAGCAATTCGTATCATCGTCCAAAACGCCATCCAACGGTGGGAAGTCTCTTTTACATATGCCATTCACCATCATCGTCACGTAAGCAAGGGATTGGCTACACGACGCACTGCAAATTCAATGTATGCTTCATTTGTACCACTAGAGTGACCTTATACATGATAGTACCGCCAGTCCTAGTGGATTTTCATTCGTCAACAAATATCAATGACAGGACACATAAATCACGAAAATGCAATAAAGCATACATTATACGAAGTTATACGATAAACAAAAAAGAGATAAATAAGGTGGTGAAATGATTAGTGACGTAATGAGAAAGTTGTGATCTCTCAAGGCCTGAACAGTACATGAATCGAATAAATACAAACAACAACACAATATACTGATACAATCATATTAGGGATCTCAGATGTACTGAAATAGCTCCATGGGCCATATTTCCATAAATGTACCAGCACTACCACAAGGAATGAATGAGTCAGGGTAATCATAGATCTTCAATAAGGGACAGGTAGAATGTTCAAATACAACGGTATGTTTGTCAAACTCATTTACCTACGCCGAGAAATTCTCTGCAACTGTGTTTGGACAAATACCGGTTGTGGTGAAAGGGTAAACAAGCAAACGTCATGCATAAGTGGAACTTTAAAGGTTGAAGTCAAGGTTAACTAGAACTTTACTAATTTTAATTAGAACGACTTTATTAATTAGTCATGTAAAGAACGCTCCCTACTGAAGAGTAAACTTCACGATCAGTTCCCTAGAACAATCCCTCTATAAAGTTAGTTGGATGCGTAATCTGAGAATCTCGTTACTCAAAAGCGCGCGGCGGAAAACCGAGATAAATAACATCAGCACCTATATGGAGCCTCAACGCATGGATGCATATCTGCCGCCGCGAATCCGTTGGTGTCTGCGTCTCGCTCGTCTCTATACTCACCGCCTCAGCGTCCAGTGCAAAAAAGACGCCCCTTACCCTAAGGTTCGAAAACATAAGCCTTAATAGCCTCAACCGCGTCTTTTCCTTTTTCGCTGACTCATCACACACATTCGTTACCATTTTGAGCGTAACGTCACCTAGTAATCGTAGAACACGCTTCAAAGCTTTTTTGTGGATGCATATTGAAAAAAGAAAAGTAGTTCCTTCATCCATATGGAGCGCTCCAGACACCTAAATTTCACGGAGGACGAAGGCTCGAAAATATAAGCTTCCAGGACGATGTTACGGATATGAAAAAAGGGGAGGTATGTATATTGCAAAAGGACGGCGGACCCTCAATGAAATGAGTCGAGATAGCTCCGCCGCGCAAGCTCAACCCTGGCGAGTGCGCCTGTCGCGCTCAGGCTCGCCTCCTCCGCTCCACTTCCCCCCTATACTTTGCAAGAGCATTGCATATAATATGGTCGGATTTTTTTAAACTTTTCTAAGTTATGCGTTACCAACGAAAGAATGATATTTGTTGGAATGAGACCGGCAATCGGAATTAGCACGTGCACGAGCTCCTCCAAAGCAAAAATCAAAGCGATTCTTATGTAATTCACAAGGATTATATTCTGAACAAATGAATTTTATTTACAATTATTCATTAATTTTTCCCTTAGTTTAGCTTCTCCGCCTGGAAACAGCCTTCTGGATTACGGCCCAAATACGGTATTCCATAAATATTACATCGATTATTTCCCTATTAAACTTCGGGTAAGTTGAAAAAATAGTAGGTTTCAGTCATAAAAGGCTAACAGGAGGATTACTTCACTGCACCACATCTTCCTCGATGATGCGTCGGCCATCACGCACAAAAAAGTATGCGTAAACAGTGATAAAAGGACTTGTCCGCCAAGAAGAATGAAAAGATTCT